TTTCTAAAAAAAGAATAAAAACCAAAAAAAAAAAAAAAAAAAAAAAAAAAAAAAAACATAGGCCAAATTGCATCTTTCTTTTTGGCAAATCCACCAGAGTGCATGTAAAACTTTTGGTTATAACACTCTCACTGGGATTTTAAAGTGTTGTTGGGTTTAGAACCATAAGTTGACGGGCTCAAGCCCAATAGATGATGTACATGATACGCTGCGTTTTCGCTCATAAGAGTTACTTGATCACAACATCAAAGCCTCTATGCTTCATGTTTGTCCCAATATTTTCGGCATTATCATGAGGGATGACAAAAAATAAAAAATAAAAAATAAAAAATCCACTGGAAAAACATAATACTTCAAATTCAGCTTATTTTCCTTGTAAGTTGCAAACACCTCAATCTATGTAAAAATACAAAGTGTGTGCTTAGCTAAGCGCTACGCACGTGAATTTTGCGTGAATTCAATAATTATTTTTTGATAAAAATAAGAAAGATTATAAAGATGGACACAATGAAGATTGAACCTACGTCCTCATGCTTTTATTTATTCCAAACCCTCTCCACTCAATCACTAGGCTAAGTTACGTGAATTCAATAATGTAACATGTGAAGTTGTTTAGTTTTTAATTAATATGTTAACGTAGAAATTAGAGTGGTTTTACCTGACTTTCTGGAAAACTAAACATGCCCCCCAAAAAAAAAAAATTTAGACAATTGTTGGTGATCATTTTATTTCATTTCATTTTTTTTTGATTTTTTCATTTCATAATTACTTGTTTCTCTAATTTATTACCGAACCAATAAAAAAGTTATTCATATGATTTCTTAGTGTTTTTTTGTGTATAAAATCTGAGAAACAATGAGGTGATTTAGGAGTATCATCATTTTAATTATTTTTTTATATAATACATTGTGAAATATTACTTTTTTGTAAATTAAAAAATTAAAAAGTTTGAATATTTTTAAGTTCATAAAAATATGATTTTATCTCATTGCAATCTTTCTTTTATCATTTTTAGATCCATGACATTTTGTTAGAGTCCTTTTTTATTTTCTATCTTTTAATTCTAGCGTTTAGTGCCAATATAGCTAACAAAATGAAAATTATTAAGATAAATATGGAAATAAAAAAATATTTTAAATAAAGATAACTAAATTATTTTTTATGACACTAAAAAAATTATCATATAATAATGTACATTTTATAATAACACAATAATTATAATTAAAAACTATTTTTACTTATACTATAAATATAACATTAATATATTATTAAATAATATAGATTATAATAGCATGTAAAATATATTGTATCTATAATGACAAATTTTATTTTATACATTAATATATATAATATTTTTATACTGTATAAAATTTATTAAATATTGTATTATTTTATGTTATCATCTTTTCATTACTAAAGTGGTATATAGCTCGTGAGTGCACGAGAAATAAACGGACTCGAACCGTCACAAATTTTTGTTCTCATTACTATTAGCAACTACCTTAATTTGGTGTAATGTGCTTGTATTAGATTGCATGTATTTCTGGGAGCATTCTTGGCTATGTTGTTCACAAGCTCAATTTGTTGATCTAGAACAATAGGTCCTTAGCTAACATGTTGGCTTGTAAAGGTGCTTGGATGTCCATTTCCCCCCCCCCC